GGCGGGCCGTCAGGTGAGGCGGCGGGGCCGTCAGGTGAGGTGGCGGGCCAGTAGGTGAGGCGGCGGGCCGCCAGGTGAGGCGGCGGGGCCGTCAGGTGAGGTGGTGGGCCAGCAGGCGAGGCGGCGGGCCGTCAGGTGATGCGGCGGGCCGGCAGGTGAGGCGGCGGGCCGTCAGGTGAGGCAGCGGGCCGTCAGGTGAGGCGGCGGGCCGGCAGGCACGGCGGCGAGGCCGTTAGGTGAGGCGGCCGGGCCGGCAGATGCGGCGGCGAGGCCGGTAGGGTGCAGAGGGGGGGCCGACAGAGGTGCAGCGGCGGGGCCGGCTGCAGCGACGAGGAGGCCGCGCGGCCGACGTGAGGGCGGTGCGGCGCGGCCGTAAGGCCTGCGCGACGTGGGGCCCGGGCCGGGCGCGCGAAAAAAAAAGGAGTCGCGCGCGCGACTCTCGGGGCGCCACAAGGGCAGCGCGACACGCACTAGGGGGGAGCGCGCCTCGGGGAGAATAGGGCGCGCTCCGGGCAGAAAAAAAATCGTGGGTGGGCCCAAAAAAAACGGTCCTTAAGAGGGACCCGCTCTACACCATGTGAAACTGAATGAACAGGAATGATGAACTATGAAATGAAAACAGTACAAGTGCCAACCCTAATTGGGTTGTACCCCTTATGTGCTACCCCACTACAGCCTACAACATGCATAAGCTATAGTAATCTGACATGGGGGTGCTGAGCCTGGGGGTGCTGAGCCTGGGGGTGCTGTTCCTGGGGGTGCTGAGCCTGGGGGTGCTGTGCCTGGGGGTACTTCGTCTCGCCGGGAGCCACTCTCCTCACAGGAGCTGCGTGAGTGGTTTGCCCGGCGCTGGAGGCGTGCTGCTGGTGCTGGTGGTTCTTCGGCTGCAGAGGGTACTGCTGCCACGCGTCCTGGCGGTGCTCGTACTGTGGGTGCTGGAGCTGCTGGGTCTGAGAGCTCTCCTGGAGCTGGTACTGCTGAGGGTGTTGGCGCTGAGCCTGCGGTTGGAGGTCCGACTGACAGTACTCCTGGTGCTGCTGCTGGAGGTTCTGGAGCTTCTGGTGGTTCTGCTGGAGGTGCTGCTGGAGTGGGTGCTCCTGACGGGCCTGCTGGTGCTGTTCCTGCTGTTTCTGGCGTCGCCGCGCGGCCCCGACCGTACTTCGTTCCGCTCCTGCAGCAGGTTCTTGGTCTTGCACCTCCTCCTCCTCCCTTAGAGGGTCCGCAGCCTGTCCGGTCACAGCCACAGCTACAGCATGCCTCCCCTTTGCCTGCTCCTTCTCCCTACGCTGGTCCGACTGGAGGTCTTACTGAGCGTCGTGAGCCTGCGTCTCGTCCTGCGTCGCCTGTTCGTACTGAGCGCGCTAGTGGTCGCGGGTCGCGTCAGCGTCCTCCTCCTGTCCCTGGCACGCACCGGATGTCACTGCGTCCGTCCACTGCTCCTCTGCGTGCCCCTTTGCCTTCTCCTCCTGCTTCCTCTCTTCCTGCTCTTGCCGACCCGGAGTCGGACTCTCTTCGTGCTGCCAGTCCTACTGTCACGCGTCTCCTTGCTACTGCTGTCACTGACCCTTCCTTCGAGTCGTCTGCTGCGTCTGCCCTTGTCACTGAGCTTGTCGACTTTGCTGCGCGCTGTCGTCTAGACTACGCTGCTCGTCTTGTCACTGGGTCTGAGTCCGCCTGTCCTCCGTCCGTCGGGGGTGAGTGTGCCCTTGGCACGGACGTCCTTGAGGACAGGCAGGAGGAGTTCCAGTGTCTAGCCGCTGCTTCACCTCGTCTCGCGTCTGTACTGCTAGCCCCTGAGGGAGACCCGGATGCACCAGACATCCCGACTCCGCGCTCTTACGCGGAGGCGATAGAGGGTCCCTACTCCTCTCAGTGGCAGGCAGCTATGGATGCAGAGATGGCTTCCTAGAAGTCCACAGGCACCTACGTTGACGCTGTTCCCCCTCCTGGGGCGAACATCGTCAGTGGCATGTGGATTTTCAGGGTGAAGCGGCCGCCGGGTTCTCCGCCTGTCTTCAAGGCGCGTTACGTGGCTCGTGGCTTCAGTCAGCGGCAGGGGGTTGACTACTTTCAGACCTTCTCCCCCACCCCGAAGATGACCACTCTTCGGGTTCTGCTGCACGTTGCTGCTCACCGCGACTACGAGCTGCACTCTCTCGACTTCAGCACAGCTTTCTTGCAGGGCAGCCTGCACGAGGAGATCTGGCTGCGTCGCCCACCTGGCTTCACTGGGTCTTTCCCTCCTGGTACCCAGTGGAGTCTCCGGCGTCCAGTCTACGGTCTCCGCCAGGCGCCACGTGAGTGGCACGACACACTGAGGACTACGCTCGCGGCACTTGGGTTTGCTCCTTCTACTGCCGACCCGTCGCTGTTTCTGCGCACCGACACCTCTCTGCCGCCGTTCTACATCCTCGTGTACGTCGACGACTTGGTCTTTGCCACAGCTGACACTGCTGGACTCGCCTTCGTGAAGTCCGAGCTGCAGAAGAGACACACGTGCACTGACCTGGGTGAACTGCGTAGCTACCTTGGCTTGCAGATCACCCGGGACAGAGCACGCCGCACCATTACCCTGACTCAGTCACACATGGTGCAGCAGGTCCTTCAGCGCTTCGGCTTCACGTACTCCTCGCCTCAGGCCACTCCTCTGCCTACTCGCCACTCGCTCTCAGCTCTGCCTTCGGATGAGTCCGTAGAGTCGAGTGGTCCGTTTGCAGAGCTTGTTGGCTGCCTCATGTACCTGATGACCTGCACACGACCTGACCTCGCATACCCTCTTAGCATTCTCGCACGCTTTGTTGCTCCTGGGAGACACCGACCAGAGCACATGGCTGCAGCGAAGAGGGTGTTGCGTTACTTGTGCAGTACGTCGGGCATGGGGCTAGTGCTTGGAGGGCGCAGTCCAGTGGTCCTCACTGGGCACGCAGACGCTTCTTGGGCTGACGACCAGGCTACGCAGCGGTCGTCACAGGGTTACACCTTCAGCCTTGGTTCCGGCTCTGTCTCGTGGCGGGCTACCCGCTCGTCTTCTGTTCTCGGCTCCAGTTGTGAGGCTGAGATCTACGCTGGGGCTATGGCTGCGCAGGAGTTACGCTGGCTCACCTACCTGCTGACCGACCTTGGAGAGCAGCCTCGTTCTCCTCCAGTCCTGTACGTAGACAACAAGGCCATGCTGGCCTTGTGTCGAGAGCAGCGACTGGAGCACAGAACGAAGCACATTGCTCTCCGCTACTTTCTTGCTCGTGAGCTACAGCAGCGTGGACAGTTGCGACTTGCGTACGTGGCCTCTGAGGCCAACACTGCTGATGTCTTCACCAAGGCACTTGCGCCTTGTGATCATCAGCGTTGTTGCACGCAGTTGGGTCTTGTGCCTGTCTTGCCTCACTTGCTCTCCTCTTGACCTTGCTTGTACCTTCGCCTATATATACTCTTGCTCTTGCTTGCTTGACTCTTGTATATCTCTATAAATGATCTTGCATGTGAACTGGCCGTCTGGCCTTTGAACTTGTGCTCGGAATGCGTGGTGACTTTGTGATCCACCCCGAGCTTGCTTTGCTTTGCTTTGCTTGACTAGTCTTGTGACCCCTTGTTCTCCCCCACTTTGCCTATGGGGGTGTGTCAGAACATATCTATAGCTTATACTATTGTGTAGGCTGTAGTGGGGTATCCCATAGGGGGTACAACCCAGTTAGGGTTTCATATTTGTACTGCCTTCATTCATAGTTCACACATTCCTGTTCATTCAGTTTCACACATAGGCGTCACGTTGTTGTTGTTGTTGCTGTTGTTTGATTGCGCAGGTGCTCCTTGCTGATGTTGCTCGTAGAAGGACATGAAGGAGAAAAATTTCTCCATCATGCTTGGATCGAAGCCCGCGCCTTGGTTTGCGGGTGTTTCCGTAGACCCAGCTGCTGGTCTCGTCGTTGTCCCCTCCTCTGTCAGTAGGCCAGAGGCAGGTGGTGGAGTAGGGGTAGTACCGGGAGAGCCGTTGGAGGAGCTCCTCTCCTTTCTAGCAGACATGTCTTCTTTGATGTACTGAGTGTTGAATAATGAATTTTAACTCTAACTGCTCTCATACCATGTTGGGCTGAAACGCCCTAGGATCTTTGTAGAGTTAAAGTCTGAGTAGATGTTGTAATAGCGGAAGCGTTGAATAAAGCTCTTGAACCACCTTGCGCTAGTATGTGAGGGCAAGGTAAGTTGATAAAAGCAAAGAGATACAAGAATATAAATATATGAGTACAGAGAATATGAAGAGACATTATAACTAATTTTACTGTTGCGGTTCGATACAGTGCGACTCGGGCAACTGCTCAATGTCGAGTTAGTTGTTTGTCCTTGCTGTCGCGCTGCGTCAGGTCAAAGGTCGCTGCCCTTTGACTTACCCGTAACCTCCGACGGTTACGTTAACTTCGTTGGTTGACTCGCGCTGCTTCGACTTGAGCTGCTTCGTTTTGTGTCTTGAGTACTGACACGACAGAGGCGCTTAACTTATTTGTTCCCAACATATAAGACCCCCCCGCCCCAAATTGATATGTACACCCTAAAATAACAGATTGATAGATGATAATTAAGTGTACCCCGGGTCTTAAAATTTGCTGCCGCCATAATGCCCACCCAAGCATATCTTTAAGCATTTGAGAGAGTCCCCCGAGTCTTATAGCCGGAACTACACGGACCGGGTGTGCAAGCTTGGATTGGCTGGTTGAGCATTTCATCCCTGCTTACACTAGCTTTGGATGAGTAGAAGGATGGTTCAAACAAAAGCATTTCACACGCTCTAAAGGATTTTACAGTTTGTTGAAGAGACTGGTTTCAATACCGTAGTTGCCCACTACACTAGGGCCCAAAAAGATGTTCGATTTAAATCATGATTTGCCTTGAAACCACACTAGCCATCAAAGTCAATTCTGTCTTTCACTGTCCCTCCTTCAGCCTCCATACAGCTTCATGCTTTGCACTTGTTACAAGCTGGCAAACACCATCCATCCCTGTTCTCATCACTTGCCCTTTTTCTCATGTGACCGGTGCGCCATGCAGCGGATGCCATCGGGGTCCATGGCAAACCCCAGCGGGCGGTAGAAGGTGACAACGCGCTGCTCCGCGAACAGCCCCACGTTGCACACGCCCAGGCGCAGCAGCGCGCCCACCACGCGCTCCATGAGGGCGCGGCCCAGCCCGCTGCCCTGCAGGCGCGGGTCCACCGCCACGTCCCACACCACCTCGTTGAACACGCCATCCCCCGCCGTGCGCGCAAACGCCACTGGCTCCACCGCCGCCTCAGGCGGGGAGGGCGAGGGGGAGGTGGGCGAGGAAAAGAAGGCGAGAGGCTCAGCAGGAGAAGGTTGCGGGGCGGAGAACCAGAGCACGAGGGTGGAGTGCGCCAGCGCGTGCTGCAGCTTCTTGGGGCCGCGGCGGGGGAAGCCGGCGCGGTGGAAGAGGTTGTCGAGCTTGGCGTAGTCGAGCAGCGCCGTGTCCCAGTGCACCGCGATGCCCCGCTCCTGCAGCTCCCCGTCCGTCAGGCTCACCTGCTGCTGCCCTCCTGACCCCCCTGCCCCAGCAGCAGCGCAGTGCCGTGTATGGCGTGTGGCGTGGAAGCGCGGTTGGCAGAATGGTTGGTGACACTGCATGGGACCAGCGGGGTAGTAGAGACGGAGACAAGGGAAACTAAATGGGTTATGGTTGCAGGTAGGTACGTTCATTGATCAAGTGGAGACCAATAAGACAATCCTGGCCGAAGAAAGGCATCCCAATCAGGCAATGGCAGTGCCAAGCATCCCAATAGCATGGATGCACGGCAGCTGCTGCCCACTCGCTCGCGTTGAACGCGGATGGAAGTACCGCAATGGCAGCATCGCAGACAATCAAGGGCACAACATTCCGTGTGCACTCACTGTGGACGGCATGCAGGCGGACAGAGGCGCGTGTTGAAGGGCTGACTCATGGGGCGCGGGCGGGTGGAGGGTTGTCAATGGGTGGAGGGCGCCGGTTGAGGCAGAGGCAGATGAGAGAGAGGCGACGAGAGGAGGGAGCATGCTGCCGTTGAGGGCAGAGCAGGGGAACGGAACGCGATGGGATGCGAAACTGAGGGAGAGAGAGGGGAGCCGGTGGGGGGGATGAAGGGGGGAGGGAAGGGGGGGAGAAAGAAGGGAAATGGGAGTAGAGAGGGTTGTGGTGATGAAGAGGATGGGGTGGGAGGTGGGCAAAGAGAGGGGGACGAGTATTGGAGAGGGTTGTGGTGAAGAAGGGGAGAGTTGGGCGGAGAGAAGGGGCTTTGTGGGAGAAGAAGGACGGGGGAGGCCAACGAGGAAAGGCTGCACATGGCAGCAGGGCACCATGCGCGAGCTAGTGGGACAGGAAGCGAAATTGGCAACGAGGCCGTGGCTGCCCGACAGCTGCCGTCGGCCTCGACGCCCAACACGCCAGTGCCGCCAATTCCGCGCCTCCAGCAACGCCGCTGGTGCAGCGCATCATGTTTGCAACGGTCAATCAACTGGAGCTGCTAAAACCTAGTTTGAGTCGAGTCGAGCGCGACGAACCCACTCTGCCCGCCGTACCCAGTTGCTACTAACTTGCCTGCCCACATCGCTGATCGGAAACTGCCGTGGTACAGCGTGAAACGGGGATGGTAGCATCCTGGTGTCAGCGGGAAGCGCGGAAACAGCAGCAACTGCAGCCGGAGGGCGGCTGGCTGCGAGCGGCGGGAACGGCGAGTGGAGCATGGCAGCCGAGCCGATGCGCGGCTAACCTGCGCGCGACAAGGGAAAAAACTCTTGGTATGAAGAAGGGTATCCTAGACGAGGGAGGCAGCGCAGTTGCACTGCAGATGTGGAAGTGCTGGTTTGCACTCAAGAGTTGTGTGAGGTGCACTCCACCATCACACTCAACCTCACACTCACACACACACACACACACACACTCTCGCACTCACCCTTAAACTCGCCCTCTGATCAACCTCACACTCACCCTTGCATTCACCCTTGCATTCACGCTCACAGTCACCCTCATTCTCACCCTTGCACGCACACTCGCACTCACACTCACACTCACCCACTCACTCATGCGCTTACACTCACCCTCGCTCTCACTCTCACACTCATCCTCGCAATCACTCTTGCACTCACGCTCGCACTTACTCTCGCACACACCCTCAAGGCACTGTCTCTCGCACCACACCTGCTCTCACACCCGTATTCAAACCTACGCTCACCCTCTCGCACACGCTCGCACTCACTCTCGCACACGCTCGCACTCACTCTCGCAACAAACTCACCAACACTCAAATACTTTCATTCGTCGTTAAATACACTGACAAAAAATACACACAAACACACTTGCACTCACCCTCAGGCTCGCGCTCGCGCTCACTCAAAACCCACACTCCCACACACACACACACACACACACACACACACACACACACACACGCACGCACGCACGCGCGCGCGCGCGCGCACACACACACACACACACAACACACACACAGTCGCTCGAACCCTCGAACTGAAGGCGCAATCACTCACACCCTCACTCGCCCTCGTACTCACACCCGAACGCACACTTGCATTCGCCTTCGCACTCACACTCACGCTCACTCTCCCATTTGCTCTCGCACATGACGTTACATGCACCTTTGCACTCACCCCCGCCTCACTCTCGCACTGACACCCGCACTCACATCCACGATCACCCTTATTCTCATACCCTGCACTCGCTCTCGCACTCGCTCTTCACTCACAACTCCTTCACAAAAACACACACACAAATGCGTGCACTCATCCTCGTACTCAACCTAGCACATAAACTCGAACGCACTTCCGCACCTCCCTTTGCACTCACAACCGCACCCTTGCACTCAACCTCGCATTCACACACATACTTTCGAACTCGCCGTCGTCCTCACACTCACTCTCACAATTACTTTCGCACTCACTCGCGCACTCACGCTCGCACTTGCTCTCTCATTCACAAACGCACTCGCCCTTGCGTTCATAACGCACTCACCCTCAAGTGCATGCGAGCATCTCACCCTCAAGTGCATGCGCGCATCTCACTCTCAAACTCACCCCGGCGCGCACTCGCACCCAATTTCACACTCGCAATCATCCTCTCGCACACTTTCGCACTCACTCTTGCCGCCACTCACACACTCTCGCCCTAAGCGCAAGCGCCCACGGTGCCAGCGCCCCAAGCGCAAGCGGCTTAGGCGCAAGCGCCCACGACGGGATGTGAGGGGGAGGCGAGGACGGGATGTGAGGGGGAGGCGACGGCGGGATGTGAGGGGGAGGCGAGGACGGGATGTGAGGGGGAGGCGACGGCGGGATGTGAGGGGGAGGCGAGGACGGGATGTGAGGGGGAGGCGACGGCGGGATGTGAGGGGGAGGCGACGACGGGGGTGGCGACGTCGGGATGGGAGGGAGAGGCGATGGCGGGTAAGAGGGAGATGCGGCGGCGAATGAGAGGGAGAGGCGACGGCGCGATGGGAGGGAGGCGACCGCGGGGTGAGAGGAAGAGGCGACAGCGGGATTGGCGGGAGGGCGATGGCGGGTTAGAGGGAGAGACGACGGCGGGATGGTAGGGAGAGGCGAACGGCTGGGTGAAAGGGAGAGGTGATGGCGAGGTGGGTGGGAGAGGCGATGAGGGACGAGAGGCGAGGTGGGAGAAGAAGGGTTTGTTGGGTTGGGTTGAGTTGAGCGTTGGGCTGACAATTCAAGGCCATTGGCCCGCGTCTCATATTTCACAACTCCCATCCAAGTCTAATACGGTTTGTTATGAGTTGTTCTTACGAGTGCAATTGAGTGAACGAACTAGAATTGCACTATCGAAGCAAGAGTACAATGAGCGAAGGCATGAGCGAAGAATATATAGCGAAACTACAGTGGTAACGGTAATGGTCGCGCGACGAGCCTGGGACTGAGGTTGGGAAAGTGTCGAAGCGTAGGCCCGGAGCGCGGGTTACCAGCCGAGCCGTGAGGTCGGGATGCGATGTGCGAAAATGGCGGGATGATGAATGATGCGATGGTCGCGAGTGGTAACGGTGCTGACTGAGGTGCTACAGTGATGTACGCGTTGGAGCAGGGATGCGAAGTAAGGAAAAGGGAATTTCCTTACACTACCCCCCCCTCCTAAAAGTCCTCCTTACGAGAGCGCGTGGACGTCTTTGAAGTTTCGGCTGCGCAGATAGTCGGTGACGACAGGGTGGTTTCCAATTCTGTCCAGGGGAACCCAGTTGTCCTCGGTGGGTGTACGATCTTTCCAGCGGATCAGAAACTCAACTTTTCGGGCTCCTCGAGGGTCGCGAACTCGGTGGCTCAAGATTTTGTCGGGGGTGATGACTGGTTCGGTTGGTGGTCGTGACATGCTGGATGGTCGATGTCGTGGGAGTTGGCTGGTGGATGGTACGTAAGGGCGAAGCAGGCTGACGTGGAACGAGGGGCTGACGTACCAGTCAGCAGGAAGGAGGAGGTGCGCGGTGACAGGTGTGATCATGTGACTGATTCGAAATGGCCCACAGTATCGAGGGCGGAGTTTGGGAGTGATGGGCAGGCGGAGGTTCTGAGTGTCGAGTAAAACGAGGTCGTCGGGCTGATAAGTGACGGATCTGCGGTGGCGATCGGCGTTGCGTTTAGCAATGATATTTGATTTTTTGATTGCTTCTGCTGCCCTGGTCCGTGCTGCTTGCAAAATCTCGGCGAACTGTTGTGCGCGTGGAACGGGATTGTCGGGGTTTGGTGTCATGGGTACTATTGGGTTCTGTCCGTAATTCAAGTAGAATGGCGACTGTTGGGTCGATCGACGACGACCAGGATCACGTCATTCCCACTCGCCCCGGCCGGTAACCCCGTGACGAAGTCCATCGTCACCTGCTGCCAAGCACGCTTTGGAGGTGGGATTGGTTGTAATTGTCCCGCCGGCCGCTTCCTGGTTGACTTCATGAGTTGGCAAGTGGGACACGATGCCACGTGTCGTTGCACGTCGGTCAACATTTCCGGCCAGTAATAGTACCGCTGCAGCTGCTGCCGTGTTTTTTCTACTCCGAAATGTCCCGAGGTAACTCCGTCGTGTGCCTCCTGTAACAGTAGTTCCCGTAGTAGCGTGTACCCTGGTACCTAGATGCGGTCGGATCCAGCTTTTACGTAATAGACTCCCTTGGCTGCTGCGAATTGCTGTGAATTTCCTCCTGTGAAGAATGGGTCTGTTTGATATCCGTGGGTAAATAGTCGTGTCAGTAACGGGCTGGTCTGGGCGAGTAGTATCGCATGGATTTGGGCAGTGGGGCGGGTCAGTGCGTCGGCAATATTCGAGGCTCCTTTTTTATATGTGATCGTATAGTGGAAATTCGACTCGAGGAAGTCGAGCCACCGAATCTGTCGTGGGTTGAGGTGGGGCTGTGCGCGAAGGTACTGTAGGGATCGATGGTCTGTCCGTACTGTCACGTCTGCGCCGGTCAAGTAGCAACGCCACACTTTGAATGCATGCACGATCGCGAGCATTTCGCAGTCATGTATCGGGTAATTTCGCTCAGGTGGATGTAGCTTGCGTGATTCGTAGGCGATGGGTTGGAGGCCGTTGCCGAAGTCCTGTAACAGTACGGCTCCGATGGCGATGTCCCTCGCGTCTGTAACAACTTCGAAGGGGCGGTGTGGGTCAGCGATGCGTAGGACGGGTGGTGAACAGAGAACATTTTTCAGGGCAGAGAAGGCAGCATGCTCTTTCTCCCTGTCAGATGATCATATTACTGATGCATATATCTAGGCTGTAGTGGGGTAGCCCATAGGGGGTACAACCCAATTAGGGTTGGTACTTGTACTTGTTTCATTTCATAGTGCACCCATTCTCTCTCTCTAATCTCAACATGGTATAGAGCGGGTCCTTCCTAAGGACCATTTTTTAAGGGCCCACCCACGAAATTTTCGCTGCCCGGAGCGCGCCCTTCTCTCCCCGAAGCGCGCTCCCCCTAGTCCTTCTCGCGCTGCCCTTGTGGCCCCCGCGAGTCGCGCGCGCGACCTTTTTTTTTTTTCGCGCGCGCGGCCCGGGCCACGTCGCGCTGGCCTTACGGCCGCGTCGCGCCGCCCTCGCAGCTCTGCTGCGTCGCGCCGCCCTCGCGGCCCCCTAGCGCCGCCCACGCGGCCTCATCGCCTGCCTCTGAAGGCCCCGACGTCGCCGCTGACGGCCCCGCCGTCCCTTTCTGCCGGCCCCTCCGCTGCACTTGACGGCCCCGCCGTCCCCTCTGCCGGCCCCGCCGCTGCACCCAATGGCCCCGCCGTCCCCTCTGCCGGCCCCGCCGCTGCGCCCAACGGCCCCGCCGTCCCCTCTGCTGGCCCCGCCGCTGCTTCAGCCGGCTCCGCCGCTGCACCTGACGGCCCCGCCGTCCCCCCTGTCGGCCCCGCCACTGCACCTATCGGCCCCGCCACTACCCCTGACGGCCCCGCCACTGCATCTCCCGGTCCCGCAGCTGCATCTCCCGGCCCCACCGCCCCAGCAACTGCGCCGCCCCAGCAGCCGAGCCGCCCTAGCAGCCGAGCCGCCCCAGCAGCCGAGCCGCCCCAGCAGCCGAGCCGCCCCAGCAGCCGAGCCGCCCCAGCAGCGGAGCCGCCCCAGCAGCCGAGCCGCCCCAGCAGCCGAGCCGCCCGAGCCGCCGAGCCGCCCGAGCCGCCGAGCCGCCCGAGCTGCCCGAGCCGCCTGCACTGCCCTGTCTGGTGAGCACTGAGCTTTACTCTGCGCACTGCCCTCACCCTACTGCTGTCATGGCTACCCCCAGTGTCCTCACCTTTGACGCTGAGGGCAGGGCCATCGACTTTGACGTGTGGGTAGACGACCTACTGCTTTTCCTACAGTGCGACAGAGCTGACGGCCTCTCTCTCTTTGATCTCACTTCTGGTGCCTCTCCCGCCCCTGCTGCTACTGAGGATGCCACTGTTCGCTCAGTGTGGGCCACACGCGATGCTGCTGCACGTCTTGCTGTGCGTCGCCACCTCCCTCCCTCTGAGCGTGCACACTTTGGGTCGTACAAGAGTGCTCAGACCTTGTACGACGCCGTTATTGCACGCTACTCCACCCCTGCCACTGCTGCACTGAGCCGCCTCATGCTACCGTACCTCTTTCCCGACCTTGCTTCTTTTGCCACAGTCGCCGACCTCATTACCCACCTGCGCACTAGTGACGCTCGCTTCCGCGCTGCGCTTCCTGCTGAGTTCTGCGCCAAGAACCCCCCCCCCTAGTACTTCACTCTCTACTACATTGTCACCCGCCTCCCTGACTCCCTCCGTGGAGTCAGGGACGACTTATTCTCAGTCTGCCCCACCACTCTCACTGTTAGCATCCTCGAGAAGTCCCTCCTAGCAGCCGAGAAGAGCATTCTCGCTGTAGGGGCCTCTCGTGGTGACCAGCGCACCCCCATCTTTGAGGGGTGTTCCCCCTCCCCCCTCCTGCCCTCTGTCGCCTCTGCTGCTACGGCCGACCTAGTTGGTTTTGAGTCAGTCGGTGCGGCATCTGCCCCCCAGTGGGAGACGTCGCTCTGGCAAGGGCAAGGGGGGCAGGAGCGGTGGTGGCGGCGGCGGGGGCGGTGGAGGCGGCGGTGGAGGCAGCGGAGGAGGTGGGGGTGGTAGCGGGAGTGGTGGCGGGAGTGGAGGTGTCAGCGGCGGCAGTGGAGGCGGGGGTGGCAGCGGCGGTGGTGGTGGGAGTGGAGGCGGAGGCGGCGGTGGCGGCAGCGACGGTGGGAGTGGCGGTGGCAGCGGAGGTGGTGGCGGCGGCGGCGGAGGAGGCGGCGGGGAAGGTCGTGGCTCGTCGCAGAGGAGTGGCTCCGGTGGCGGTCAGCGCCAACAGCAGCGGCAGCAGCGTGGTCAGGAGACCCTCTCCCCGCAGCAGCTCCGTGAGTGGTACGCTGCACGTCAGAGGGGTGGGGGTACTGGTCCGTGCACCTACGTCTTGCGCACGGGCGACCGTGCGGGTGAGCCGTGTGGTGGTCCACACCCCGCCCAGCGCTGCTTCGGCCGCCTGACTGACGCTTGGCGCCGCCAGTTTCCTGACGCCTCTGAGATCCCTCGCTGGGACCAGCTGTCTAGGGCAGGAGTAGCTATCTTTGATCTTGACTTTGATGCTATTCTTGCTGCCATGTATGCTGTGACTATTAGTGAGGAGGGTGACTGTTACCGGTGTTTCCCGCCCGACCCGGGCATTGGTACTGCGGCTCTAGGTGCTGTTGAGGCTGCTGCTCCAGGTGCTGGTGAGGCTGTCGCTCTAGGTGCCAGTGAGTCTGTGTCCTCAGGTGCTGGTGAGTCTGCTCTCTCAGGTACTGCGTCGGCTCCGCCCTCTCTCACCTTCACTCTTGACTCAGGGGCGTCTCGCTCCTTCTTTCGAGACCGCACCACACTCACGCCGCTTAGTCGGCCAGTGGCGGTCTCCCTGGCGGACCCCTCTAGGGGTCCTGTTCTGGCTCGCTACTCCACTGTCCTGCCGTGCCCTGCGGTCCCGTCTGGCGCCCTGTCCGGTCTCTACCTCCCCTCGTTCTGTACGAACTTGGTGGCGGGTGCTGACCTACAGGATGCAGGGGTCGACCAGTTCACCCCTGCACGCCGACGGGACACCCACTGCACGGACGCGGACACGGGTCGCCACTTGACCACGTTCACACGTGGGCCGGGGTCGAGCCTGTACACACTCACGGTTCCGTCTCCTCCTCCTGCGTCTGGTCAGGTAGCTGCGTCGGGTCAGGTGTTTGCTGCAGCGTCCAGGTCTGGTCCTGAGTCTG